AGAGGATTGTTGGAGGTGGAGTAGATCTGGGCAAGGAGGAGGTATATGGAGATAAATGCAAGGAGGGAGGGGCAATAGAAACAAAAAGGAAACATTTTGAGCAAAATATTCCAGAAGTCTTGAGGGATAAGTTTCTGAGTATAGCCTATCCATTAATTTGAGATCTAGTGAGGGAATGGTACAGTTATAGTAGAAGGAAAAACCTATCATGGCAGCAGGCTTCCCGGGTTGTAAAAGAGACCCTGTTTGGGAATATTTTAATGAAGGTTATATCAAACAACAAGTATGCACTTTTTGTAGAAAACATTGATTAAATCGAGCCTTCCTGACTTGTGATTTAAATAAACTTGATTTAAATCAAATCCTCCTTGTAGCAATACATACTGTAGTGTTGCCAATCCCAGTCAAATCATGAGACTTTATAAAAGAGTTTCTTTTTTTTTTTTTTTTTTTTAAAGATACGAGAGTAGGTACTTTTGTCGCATTTCTATTTCTCAATATTAGAAGCTATCAGATGAAAGTTCAGGCTGAAGTGATCATTTTCTCCAGAAGCTTAGGCTCTAATAAAATGGCAGTATCACTAACCCTGTATTAAAATCACAATAGTGGAAACATGGTGCAGACAGATGTGACATTTGCAATCAGGACTCATAGTAGAGATATCTTTTATTAGACCAACAAGATTTTTGCAAAAATTCTTTAATTGCAAGCTTTCAGACACAAACACCTTTCATCAGGCGTTGGAGAAAAGAGTGTAAAAAGATTGTGACCGCCTGAGATCCTGCTCCTGCCTTTGTTTCAAGGTAATCTGCATCATCACAGATACTCACGGGAGGTGAGAAGCTCCATACCAGCTATGAACCGACTCCCCAGAGGAGTTTTCCATCTATTGACTCCTCTGTAAAATCCTGTGAAATACGAACTTTCATTTCTACCCAGAGGAACTTTTACAGTCTTTTCTCCAATGCCTGATGAAGGGTGTTTGTGCCTGAAAGTTTGCAATTAGAGACATTTTTTGTAAATATCTTGTTGGTCTAATAAAAGTTATCATTTCTACTACGAGTCCTGATTGCCTTTTTCTGTACACCAATACGGCTACAACCTGGATACCTGTCTGCATTTTGAAGCATTTAAAAATGGACCATTTCAGCTGTGGACAGGCATACAACTGCCCCACCCACCCCACTCCCAGGTCACACTTCCTAGCTATCACACTTCAAAACTGGTGTGGGTGCCTGCAGGAGTCTGCTCTCTGGCCAGGAGGCTGTGGTTACCTGTGGCTTTACCACCTTCCTCTCTTGCTTCCTTTTTCCCTTCCAGGATAGGCAGTGAGTGGAGTAGAGTGGAGTGGCTTGTTGGTGCCATTTATCCCTGTTTCTCAGAAGCTGTGGCTCTGCTTTGCCCTTCACGATGGGGGAAGGAGAGGAGAGAGATGGAGCTCATGTCAGTGGGTGCTCTCCTGTCAGCTCTGCCTCTTCTCCCAGAGCACTTCCCTGCTGGAACCAAGAGATCCTGTGCTGCTTCCTCTAAAACAGGGAGACCAAACAGAGTTATATGTGGCTTAGGGGTGGGAAAGCAGGAATCCTGGCTACCAATGGCTACCCTTCATCATGACTTTCTCAAGATGTAGTTACTGTTCACAGTTGTAAGAGTTGCTGGGGAAGCTGATGAGAAATGTGGTCCCTACCACATTTTTGGTGTGTGGTTTTTCAGAGGAAAATCATAACCAGCAGTACAAGTATTATCTAGGAAGGAGGACCCGAAGTATAGGCAGCTGGAGGTGGTCATGATATTTTATACTATCCTATTTACGTTGCTGAACACTATGACTAAGGTCCAAGGGCACCTTAGTGCAATGCAGTGTTAAAACACAGTGGTGGCTTATACCAGTTTAGCTAAAGCTTGGCAGCTATGCATGCTGGTAAGTCAGTATGAAGGTATATATAAAGACTGACAACAATGTAAATTAATATATGAATAGTTTTGTACTGGTGTGGTTGCATCCAGACTTCTGGGTTTTATAGCTGAAATTAAATGACTACCAGGCTTGTTCTCTTGGGACAAAAACCATAGTGAATCCTGAAGACAATGTCTGAAGAGCTGGGTAGGGGGAGAGAGTTTTCAGACACTGTTTTGTTCCTAAATTTTTGTTCCTGTGAAATGCTTGGGTGGCAATTACTCTACATTTATAGTATATTAGGCATATTATACAAAAAGAGCAGGAGAGAGGAAATATAGAATAAGAGAGAGAGGAATGGGGAGAGAATTATGAGTAGTTTAAGTGAGGCTGGAGTGAATAGACATATTTTAGCTTTAATCAGCAGAAGAGTAAAATTGTAGAAGTTCATTTGATACCTGTGTCTAAAGGTGTGCTTCATTTGCTCCTTGTATCTAATCTCCAGCTCTCAGTGTTAAGTCCATAGTGTGGACCTTTATTTGTGCAGTTCCATGAATTTCCAGTGGCTTCTCAGTTGGCCCTTTGGCCCCAAACGGTTCCTCTGCTATAGTGTGTTTACTTTTGAAGCTTTGCATGGGAGTAGAACGAAGATATAGGGCGAGTAATAATGTTTCTTTGAGGAAAGTGGTGAATGATACTGGGAGAGAGGAAAAGGGGAAGGTAATGGGTAATGAGACTGTCAGTGCAAAGATGCACACTCCATAAACAAAAACAAAGCTAAAAGTGGAAAAGACTGTATAAGAGCAGTAGATTTTTCAGGTGTCAAAAGTTGACAGCATGTTGCGGTTAGTTGTAGTGCTATTGCAAGGGTTTGTGTCAACGTAGGAGTTATCAGTGCAACTAAAAGCAGATTTATCTGGTGCAAAACTTAAGCCACTTGCTTTGAGTGACTAATTTCATGTGAGCTAAAGTTACTCCTAGTTTGTTAGCTAAAATGATACAATGATTTTGTATCGAGAGCTCATAGAGTCATTTTTTAAAAATTAACTAGAACTATTACTTTAAAATAAGTTTAGTTAACCTATTAGGAGCTTGTCTGGAGACAGATTGTAAATTTAAACGGCCTGGCTTTGGGAGCTTTATTTTGGAAAAGCCACATTGAAGAGGAAAGGTGCATGTCATCAGTTTGATTTATGCAGACTAAGGGTTTTGATTAAATTGGTTAATCTTTGAACATTTTATTTGAACAGAGATGCTTTTAGAACATCGATAATATAATTTTACACAATTTTATCAGGTCATATGTTTTGAAGTCTTTACCTTAAAAAAAAAAAAACAAAACAAAAAAAAAAAAAACAAAAATGAAGCCAGATACTTTCCCACTAGGCTACCATAATCAGTTGGAGATGGAACGTTTTCAGAATATCTCCAAAGGAAGAGTCCCAGGAATGGCTTTAGGATTTTTCAGTCTCTTATGGGAGCAGCACCTTGGTAGAAGACTAGGGACTTTTAAGTCCTCAAAGAAGGCAAAAATTCCCTCCCTTCTCAGAGGCATGTTCCACCTGTCCCCCACCTGCCACTATTCTTGGTGTCCTGGGGTGAAGGGAGCTCCAGACCCCCTCCAGCTGGGCTGTGCAGGGGCCAGTTTCAACCTGAGATAGCAGTGGGCAGACAGGTTCCTACTCCCAGGCTTGTAGGGAACACTGGGGGAACCAGGCAGGGAAGAGAAACCTGCCCGTTCACCACTGCTGCCACTGTCCTAGGATGAGCTAAGCCCCTTGCATAAGCAGGACAGGAACTCCCCTTGCCCCTGGAGAGCATGGAGGGGAAGTTGGGAGGCAGAGTTCTCGCATTCTTTGGGGACCTATAAAGCTCCCCGGCTGCTGCTCCTGTGGCATGGCCAGAAAGGTGGTGTGGTTGCACCACTGCACCCCCTCTGGATCTCCCCTTGAAAGCTCCCATAATTCCTTAATGCTAGAACCATGGATAGGTAACAGAGTTTAAAAGATTATGAAGTAAAACTTGGAGTAAAGACTGTTTTGCTTCTCCTTTGTAATATCTGCCAGTCTGGTACATAAATTTAGTGTAAAAGAATAGGGCAGCTGTCAAGTTGGTCCAGTTGTTTTTATGAATCCCTGTCCATACACAGTGTGGTAATGTTTAGGATTTCAGTCTTTACATTCTGAATTTCTCTCGTATCTGTTTAAAAAATATATGAATATGCCCGATCTAACATCGATCACGAGCAAGAATGCTAATATCTTTGTAGGTGAATTTATTAGTGCCTGCTGACTTTCAAAACAGCCCATTAATAGTTACCCTTTCTCTCAGGGCTGTTCAAGAAATGCCTGAATGTTTACCATGCTGAGGTCATCTGACAGGTGACTTCCTGCACTTTGGGCAAGGCCTGGACCTGATGATCTTGCGAGGAGGTCCCTTCCAGCCCTAACGCCTATGAAATCAGAACACTGTTCCACTTGTCAAAGTCTACAGAGGGTTGATGATAATTTTGTAAAATTTGGTAAAGGTTTAAGTCTCTTTATAGGGCAGATTTAAATCAGAATAATAGAAGTTTTGAGTCGGCCATCTCCACTTCTTTAGGCATTCAAATGATGGAATCTTTGTTTATAGCAGTCTTTTAAAATTGTCAGTTTTTTGCAAACCTGTCAAAAAAAAATCTGCTTTTTTTGGTGTGATGAAAAATGCTTACCTGTCTACAAAACTACTTCTGGAGAAAATGTGTAAAATGTATAGAATGTGTTTCTGTGGACATTGAACAGTCATAAAACATTATTTTCGGGTATGCTGAATTTCAGATTGTCAGGACAATACAGGTTATTTAAAAACAACAACAAACCCTAGTACGTTAGTTAGATGTCTATATTTTCAATTCTCTGTTTGGAAGTGGTGTGTGCTGTTAGATGCAGCTTCATACTTGCATTCAAATAGTCTGTTTGTATTGGTTGTATTGGGTTATCTATTGGCAATTCAAATGCTTCAAATTTTCAGAGCATATGCAGTTTCCAAACTTTATATTTAATATAAGTGCTGTTTGAGGTACATAGATGCTGTATGCAAAAATCTAATCCTGTTATTTTTTTAGGTTCTTGAGATTTAAGAACATGGCAGACATTGACAAGTAAGTAAAGTCTTTTGACCACTAAGTTTGACTGTAACTGTCATAGCCTCCAACAAAGTAGGCTGTAGCTTATGAAAACTCATCACTTTCTGAATGAGTTAATCTTCAAGGTGCTGCTCTGTCTTCTGTTTTACTATATCTGCTGTTCTGTTCTTCCAACTGCTGTTACAACTGAATAGTTCTCTTAATGTAAACAATATTACATTGCCATAAAATCTATTTCATGTTGTATTTCACAAAGTGTTCTGCCAGGATCTTCATAGCAATAGAGATTAAGCAACATTTGACTTGTATGTAATTTATTTAACTACCAGATGTAATTTAAGTAGTGTAATAAAGGATTAAAGCTAGCAGCATTATCGTTACTGCTATCAGGCTGGACATAACTTCTCTGTCCCTGTAGTAAGTGGTTTTCAAATCAATAAATAGTAACCTTCTATGGAGTATATACCCATTTTATAGATGGAGAAATGCTGTGAGCGAGGAAATTGGTTGATTTGCTTGAGGTCAACCAGACAGTTGGAAGGGAATCTCCAAAATGGGATTAGATAGGAATCATTTTCAGAATTCTGTTCCTTTCTGTGAACTGCTAAACCACTATTTGATTATCAGACTGGTAAAATCAATAGATTTATTTCTGGTCAGATTTTACTTGGGAAAGGAAATTCAGACCAAAATAGAATGCATCATTCTGTTGTTTATACTGGGACTTAATATAGTATTTGTAACTAGCTTTGTAGACCAAGCTCTAAATTGTGTGTTGTTTAAAAAAAAAAATGGGGGTGGGAATAGGTAACAATAACCTCTTGACCCTCAAATTTAATATTTCTAATAGCAAAGAACAGGCTGAACTTGACCAGCAGGATATGGAAGATGTTGAAGAAGTAGAAGAAGAAGAAACCGGTGAGGATGCCAACAGCAAAGGTAATACATATATTAAGACACTTTGAACTATTGCATACTGGCATCCAAAGAAATATTAAAGGCACCTAAAGTAGCTAATATGAATCCTAATATTAGTCATAAATTCCTTAACCACAGAATATTATTCTTCTACATCAGTGGTTCCCAGCCTTTTTTCGCCACGACCCGCTGCTGGGAGCAGAGTGCGGCTGCAGTGCTGGCAGCCCAGGGGCAGGGGAGCTCCCAGCATGCAGTACGGCTTGTATTTTGTGTGCAGTGCTGCGAGGCCCCTGTGACCCTCATTTGGGTCGTAACCCGAGGTTAGGAACCGCTGTTTTACATGATTTGCAGTGATTATTTACTACTTCAGTAGTGTCTATAGCAGGGGTTGGCAACCCCTGGCGCACATGCCAGAGCATGACACACAAGGCCATTTTCCTTGGCACGTCACAGGTGGCCCACGCTCTGGGCAACTGTTGCTAACCCTAGAGCCTGGGCTGCTTGCAGCAGGAAGCTGCAAGCCCTGCTGCAGGCAGCTCACAGGGTCTCTGTGGCAGGCAGCCAGGAGGTGTGTGCGCACCCACTGCTGCTACAGAGCTGGTACTGGGGCTCCAGACACTGCTGCAGCTGTTTGCAACCTGCCTGCTGCAGCTGCCCAGAGCCCAGGCCAACTGTGGCAGGCAGCTGGGAGGCTGCAGACTGCTGCACCATAGTCTAGCGCCCTGACTGGGCTTTGTGGTGGTGGTGGCTGCACATGTCTCTGGGCGGATGGTCGGGAAGAGGCCAGGGCAATGCAATCTCGGCCCTTCCCACAGTGTCTGCCCAGAGGTGCGCATGCTCCCACCGCCAGCAGTGAGGATCAGGCCCCTTGCAGCCTACCCCTGGCTTGTCAAGTGGAGGCATGGGTCAAGGTTGGGACATTTTTGGCGCTCCTGCCAAAAAACTTGTCAATCCCTGGTCTATTGTCATTATTTTTATTAGCCATAGCAAGCAGCAGTTCAGCAGATTTTCTGTTTATCAATGCATGACAAAGCTTTTGCCAGTTTCCATGTCTGTCAGTGTTCACAAATTAACCTTACCATTAATTTAGCTTAATTTCATAAACTATTCAGGTTCAAAGCAATTGTTACAATAAATGGGGAATGAGTAAAAACAAGTAAAAGCAAAACCGAAGAACTTCTCATCCTAGAACGCTTTGCTTGACAGTTTTCTGTGTAATACAATTGCTCCTTGGAGTCTAATAAAGAATTTGAAAAGTAAATAGATAAAGATTTATGTGAATAGCAACAAATGATTTTTGTTTTATCTAAAGCTGAAAATCTATTATAGAATTGCTAGATCTGTTGAAATGCTAGATTAAAGTAACTATTTGAGCATGATAAAGATACTGTAAAAATGTTTATAGCTCAAGTATGAAAAGAATATTATTATATTTTTATTTTAGCTCGACAGCTGACTGTGCAGATGATGCAAAATCCTCAGATTCTTGCAGCCCTTCAGGAAAGACTTGATGGTCTGGTAGGAACATCTACAGGATATATAGAAAGGTATGACTTGTTCTCATTTGCTGTTTGTTGCAATATGTTTGTTTATATTATTTTACTTTTTTGTTGTTATGAAGTAATCTTGAGGTATATAGAAGTACTCAACATTATTCGGGGAATTTCTTTACTTCTAAACAATATTTAATGCTAGTAATTTTAAATTACTGCTCATGCCATAATAGGTGGAGAAACAGCTAACTTTTAGTCTAAAAGAATATAATAAACTTCAGGATGGAAAACACCAGGCACTGAATCTCTTCATGACAACTTTGAGAAGGGAGAGGAGATAATGAGCTTGTTGTGGCATATGTTTTATGTCTTTACAAGGTGCCTCTAATTGCCTTAAGATTGTTTTTACAGCCCTGCACTGGCTTCTTAAAAAGTATCAGTATCTTGAATGGTCTTGGAACTGGTGTTTAAAAATTGTCTGATTTGGTCCTCTTGTTTTGGGGTATTCTTTTTGCATCAAAGCCACAAAGACTTGCAGAGTTGTCAATGTTGGATTGTCAGTGGCTGATGCAAATTGCTTGCATATAGAGCAGGGATGGGCAATTATTTTGGGCAGAGGGCCGCTTACCCAGTTTTGGCAAGCTGTCGAGGGCTGCGTGGGTAGCCCCACTCCTTGAGAGGTGCCCCGCCCTCTGGTCGCCATCTTGGGACCAATGTCCCAACATCTTGGGATCAGTGTCCCATGGCGAGCACTGGTGGGGCCCAGAGCAGGGTACAGGCTGGCAGCGGTCTATAGACCTGGGCTGGGATGCACCAGCAGAGAAAGGGGGGAGCTGGTCCGGTTCCATAGAGCTCCTGCCGGCCAGGACCCTGTACCCCTGCCACCCTACTCTGCGCCCTGCTGGCGCTGGCCCCGGGATACTGGTGCGGGCCCTGTGCTTCTGTGTCCGCTCACTCCCAGTGTGCTTCACCCCCCCCCCCCCCCCCCCCCCACGGCGGGGGTGGGGAGGGGCAGTACACAGCCCCAACCCCTTGCTCTCTGGCCTGTTAGGACCTGTTAGGCCATTCTATCTGGCCCACGGGGCCCCCCAAAAATTTAGAAAAATAATATTTACCTGCCCCGGCTGCCTGTCATGAGGCCCTCGATGGCTTGCCAAAACTCAGTAAGCGTCCCTCCACCTGAAATAGTTGCCCGCCCCTGGTATAAGGGAAGGCCAGTGTTGTGGGAGCTTATAAGCTCCCACAATTGTGTAAAAATAATAACATCCAGGAAAGTAGCCAAGTGGGCATGAAGCAGAAGGGGGAAATGCCTTAAACCTGTAGATGACTACTGCTATGCCATTTAAGGGTAAAAGTACAGGAGGAAACGTAATTTCAAGCTCTTCAGGCTTTAGGTGTAGTAGGAGACAATGAGGCAGAAAAGCAAAGTTGCAGTCAGAGCAGCAGGCACTTCCTGTTCCTGCCAAGAAACTTCAGAATGGAATTTTCTCAGTGGATAGTGGAGAAGCTTAAAAGTGCATCATCGTTAGGATTTAACATTTAATTCAAAATCTGTGTACCAGAATGCTATACTTCTGTTCTAAATACTGTATAATATTGGAATTTTATATATTCTCTTTTCTGTTTTTCTTGATTAATTAATTAATTAATCTTTACTAATCTTCCAGGTCCTTCATCTAAGAAGTGAACAGCATAAGTCATAATATTGATTTTTTTTCATGCCATTCCTCTAGTCAACTGCTTCCACTAAGATACTGTACCATTTCTTCATCTATTCAAGTACAGTAGCACATCCTCTACTATAAAAGCATTTTAACTTGGTTTTATTCTACTGAAAACTTATCTAACTGTTCAGTGAAAAGATGCTGGAGAAAGTAACAAGAGTAACTTGTTGAGCCTGCTTTTTTCAAATATATGTATGCATGTAGCTTTCAAAATGTCCCTCATGCTCTTGTTTTCCAATTAGTATTTTAAGTATACGTGTGCACTTCCCTGGACATTGGTTAGAGTTGGCTGCATGGCAAGGGGCAAATTTCATAACGATTCTATGGCTGTGTAATATGCATGCCTCTGTTCTCTAGTCTGAGCACCCAGGAAGTTTGTTCTCAGCCAGTATTGAGTCTTTCTTTTCTTTGCCCCATGAGGGTATATTAACTCATCTGCTACGCTTTCTTATTTTCTGAAGCTTATAAATGGATTTTAATCAACTAGAAATCTCTTGCTGCAAAATGAGACTACTACAGCAGATGACTGTTTTGCAGCAGAACTCTATTTAATAACTGGGCCACCCCAATATAAGCAGCCCACAAATTCCTCTTAAGACTTTACTAGAATTTATCAGAAACTGGCCTTTCCATTCCAGAATGTAACAAACAACTTTAATAGTTCTCATGGAATGGGAGCTTCAGAAATCCATTTGGAACACATCAGCTTTTTATTTTGATCCTTCTGAAAGGTGTTTTTGAAGGGTTTGGGAACTTCTTAAAGTAGGGGTGCACCAATCAAGATTTTTTTGGCCAATACTGATGGCCAATTATTAACAAGCCATATCGGCTGATGCCCATCTCATAGCCAATATGCAGCCCGGCAGCTTGGAGAGCAGAATCCAGCTAGTAAGTCTGTGGGACGGCGGAGGTGTGGGGAGCACAGATCAAGGCCCCCCCAGTGAGTGGGACTGGGGCAGGGTGGGCTTAGCCCAGCCAGGGCAGTGAATGCACTGCTGCCGGGAGCAGGGTGAAGCCAAGGGCAGCTCGCCCAGGGAGTGAGTGGAGGGGGGACAGCTCCCTGCTGCTGTGCTCACTCCCAGCGGGAAGCTGGACCGGAGCCATGCTCAGGGCAGGCAGCGGCAGTGCTGGGAGTGGGGGCTACAGGGAATACTGGGGTGGCTGTAGCCACTCCAGAGCCCTCCTCTCTCAACACCACCACCGCCCACCCTGAGTGCAGCTTCAGCTCAGCCTACCTGCCAGAAAGAACCAGGCACAGTCCCTGGCCCCAAGCCCACAGTGGGCAGCCCACCTTCATCCCATGCAGAAATCGGGGGGGGCGGCATGTGCCCCCCCATGTCTCCTCCAGGGGTGCATGCGGCAGCAGGGAGCTGCTCCCCACCATGCCCTGAGACAAGCTGCCTGCAGCTCCACCCCACTCCTGGCAGGGGCACATTCCCTGCTTTGGCTAGGCAGCACCTGCCCCAGCCCCAGTTTTTCCCTCACTGTGGGAGTCTCTATCTGCCCCCTCCCCCTTCTTTCCACCCTTCCTCCCCACAGATTTCCTGGCAGACACTGCTCTCCACGTTGCCCAGCTGCATTCCTGGTTGTGTGCATGCTGCGTCCATATGCATGTGTGTAACGTTTATCAGTGACGTTACTGGCTACACCAAAACAGGCTGATTGCTGATAATGGTAATTTTCCTTTTATCAGTGCCTATCTGATATGGAATGATACATCATTGCACCTCTATCTTAAAGCCTTGGCAACTTTGAATTTATACTCCAGAAGTCCTGGTTCTGGGGATTGCCTCATGACTTTGGGGGACTGAAGTAAAAACTTTCTGGAAGTCTGGGTTGTTGAGGAAGGAGAAGAGGTTCTCTAGCAGTCGGTCAGGTAGCCCCTGAGGAACAGGACACATAGGGTATCAGAAAATCAGGCAGGTTTCTGTTAGAGAATTTCTAACCATGTCTAGATTTTGACTTTTACACCAAAGTAATTGCTTTGCAACCCTCCTCAGTGTTATTACACTAATATCACTGAAGCCTTGCTTCATACGTGATGTTAAAGGCTTTCTGTAGGTCAGAGCTTGGAGACCTTGTTCTGCTTTTGTATTCATTCAGTTGGCTTTTGAAAAGCAGATCAAATCATGATTGGATGTCTTGCATGTGTTCTTCCTTCAGCTGTATTTCTTTTAGACTTGTAACCTGGTAGAGACTTTCTTCATAACTGCTTATCAGTTTTGTCATAAAAATAAAAAATGTGTAAAACTTATACATAAGTTTCAGTTGAACCTTGGAAGAGATTGGCATTGGCAGTTTTTGTATTTTACTTTTCTATCAAATATAATTTATGCTAAGGAATCTAGGATATTTATTGTGAAAGGTTCACCTGCATTAAATTACTGTGGCTTACTCTTGATTTATATAAAAGCTTCTGCGTGGAAATATAGATTTTTGAGCATCTCTTTCTTGATATTTTATATACAGTTACTAGAACCTGTCCAATGTCCTTGAACGTTAAAACAATACTTGCATGTGGCATTCAAATGAGTGATAATTGTATGGTCTACTTCAGTCTTACTAACATTCCTTCTTAATCCCTTTTCACCATTAACTTTTTGCCAGTCACTGAAGTTTCTCTTATTTTTGCCATTCCTGAAAGTTAAGTTTGCAGCAAAACATTTAGTAAGAGATTTGACTATAATTTATGGAACATGTCTTCTGGAGAATGTAAAATAACATGAGCATTATAGATGAGTACAATATAAAACTTTTCTAAATTTTCATTAATGAATTTCTTTGGTAGTATATTCTATGGACGTGTTCTTCCAAAATCAGAAAAGGGCAAGGTAGATACTGAATTATTGGTAACTAGAAATTGATATCTTACTAGTGAGTAAGTGCTTGTGTGTTAAAATTGTTAAGGAAGGGTGACAGTTCTGCACTTCTGCCATCAACGTTGAGGTGGGTAGAGTAACAAAAGCACTCATCCTCAGTTTATTGTGGCCAGTCTAGCACCTTGCTTAGTTAAGTAGACGAGTCCTAACAATCTTAAATGTTAAGATTAGGAACTAGATGAAAATCTAGTTCCTAATTCTATACTTACACCTTGAAATTATTTGGTGTATTATGGTGGCATTTAAATAATTCCTTTGTGAAAATGCATCAAATATTTTTTAAAAAAATCTTGCTTTTTTTTACTTACAGAGAGGCAGTGAAAGGACTGACTTTACTGTTTATCCTTTTTTAGCCATTCATACTTGCCCAAGAATGAAATGCGAAAGGTTTTTTAGCACAGTATCGATAGTCATAGATGAGAGAGTTATATTTAATTTGGACTTTTAGGGTGTAAATATCGGCTCTACTGTTAATTTCAAGTTGTGCATATTACGCTATCCTGAGACCTTATGAAGTATATTTTGCATTTTTATATTAGGTTTATGCAGAATACTTGATCTCAGATTTCAAACTATAACAAGCTGCTTTTGTGCTCCACTGCCATTGGAACATAAACATAAAAGTCACCAAACTGGCCCTAGGAGCATCATTAGTCCAAGCCATTAGTTTTCAACCTGTGGTCCACGGACCCTGGAGTCTGCAGACTGTATAAGGCAGGGGTAGGCAAAATACTGCCTGTGGGCTGGATCTGGCCTGCTAGGCCATTCTCTCTGTCCTGTGGGGCCCCTAACATTTTTTTAAAAATATTAATATTTATCTGCCCCTGGCTCCTGTCAAAAATTCTGTGCTGCCTCTCTGGGCCAGGTCCCTGCCAGGTCGTGCCACCCCCAGCGGCTTTGGGCAGCCCCCCACGCTGCCCCCTGAGACAGCCAGGAGCTTTCTCGGGGGCCCCCGTGCTCCTCGTGACAGCAGGAGCTTCTGGAGCAGAAAAGCAGCCACACTCCTGCTCCTGGTGCAGCCTCCCTGCCTGTCCCAGGGCTGGGGGGCAAGCTGCCAGCAGGCCTGTGCGGGACAGGGTGGCCTGATTTCCGCCCCCCCCCCGCACCAGCTCTCACCAGGGCTATTTGTGGGGAGGCGGCAGCCAGGCTGTTGCTGTCCCAAGCCTCAGGCGCAGGATGTAATGCTGCCGCGAGGCTTGCGGCAGCAAGGGCTTGGCTGGCTCTGCCCACAGCCAGTCCCGGGGTGTGGTGCCACATTGGCGGGGGAAGGCCTAGGCCCCCAGGTGGGACTGCAGACCAGGGGCCTGACAGTAGCTTGCCCCCTGCCCTAGGATGGGCAGGGAGGCTCTGCCAGGAGCAGGATTAGGCCCACGGACACTTCTGCATTCCAGAGGTTACCGCAGCTGCCAGGAACCCGGGGCCGTCTAGGAAGGGCCTGGCCAGCACTGGGGACAGTGCAGGGGTGTGGCCAAGGCTGCTGGGGGCAGCACAAGCCGGTGGGGACCTGGCATGGGGCACTAGAAGCCTGGGGAGGCTCCCCCAAAGTTGGATCTGAGCAGCTGCACCAGCACGCTCAGGCTCTGGGCTATTGCAGGAGGGGTGCTGACGGGCTCTGTGGGGAGTGTGCAGGACACTCCCATGTACACCCCACATACCCTCAAACCCTTCTCAAACCCCACAGCCACACACCTCCTCCACACACAGTTGCACATCCCACAAATACCTCCCATGTGTGCATGCATCCACACACGCGCACACTATACAAAAATAAGGGTGCATTTTGAGCTATTATGCAGTTGCTGCTACATATAAAGCACAAACACACATATCAGGACAAACCTTTTTTTTAATTGAATTAAATTATGTACTAAAAATCAAATATATTTTTTTTTCCCCGGTTCTAAGATAGCAAACTCTCTTCCCCGAAGGAGTACTCCTTGGGGCAAGGGGAGGGACTTCTGGTGGCAAGGGTCATAGTGTAGGGGCGGGACTTCCAGTTCCAAGATGGCGACCAGGGGGCAGGGCACCTGTCAAGGAGTGGGGCTACTCATATGGCCCTCGACAGCTTGCCAAAACTTGGTAAGTGGCCCTCTGCCCGAAATAATTGCCCGCCCCTGCTCTAAGGGGTCTGCAAAAGATGACTGTGATCAGTTGAAAAGTATGTGAATACCTACGTTTACCATTCAGAGGGTTCAGCACCTCCTTTCAAATTGTTTTTAGACATCTGCAAATGAAAAAGGTTGAAAACAATTGGTCTAAACAATCCTGTAATACTTAGAAGTTGTCATCTATCAGGGTAGGCTAGAGTTTTCATTTAGTCTGCTGAATAGGCTCATAATAACTAATATAGGTAATCCAGTGTAACATTAATCAGGTAGCTGCAGTCTTATTCTGCAGAACTGGACCAGCTCACTCTTGGTCCAGGATTTGGAACATAAACCATATATACAGCCCGCTGCACCTGCAGACTGCACTGTGTATCTGAGGATCTGGGTCTTAGTCTTTGTAACATACTAGTACTTGCCTTACTTGTTATATCTAAGTTGTAGTGACAAATAAGAATAACAGCTCAGGGGGTTGCAACTGATTAGTCTTATTTCAGTGATTCTCAACCAGGGTGCTGTGGCACCCTGTTAGGTACGCAGACATGATTAACAAGATCAATCCAGAGATTTCAAATAGGAATCTGTAGTTTTTGAAACATTCTGGCCTGTTGTGGTCTGTATGTGTTCTTTACAGCAGAAATACTATTCTGTATTTTCTGTAGTCAAAAAAACAAGTGAAAATTAAGAGTTGGCATTTTCCAAGGGTTGCCTCAAGTTTGCGGGGTGGCTTGAGCCTTAAAAGGTTGAAAACCACTAGACTATTCTATAGTAAAGGTTACTTAAATACTTTTCAGCGTGTTTATAAAATAATTTGTTTTCCTTGACAAACCAATCCTTGTCACTTATGGAAATCCTATGTAATAGCTTCTTGGCTTTTAGCTAGCTAAAAACCAGACATAAATCCTAAAGTTGCTTGGCTTTTCCTAGGGAAGCATAAGAATTTAGCTTGTCATCTTGATAGTGTGACCCAACTTTGCACGAGAAAGTCAGTACTCTGATAGTCAAGTGAGTCAAAGGAGTGTTAATCTAATTTGAGTTCAATTAATGTGTCCTGTTAAGAAAGCAGTCTTGCATTATTGATTCTGACTTAAGTCAAGAACTTGTGCAGTAAAACTGCTCCCCCCTCTTTTTTTGTTATTACTTTCTCCCTAACCTTAATGAAACCTCATAAGAGCCTGCACTAACAATTTGATTTAGCGTGGGATAGAGCGGGTATGTTCTGCTTTCATAGCTTGAAGTATGAAAAGTAGTAAATGCAACATAACTATTTGACAGAAGTTGGCTAGTGAGGATGCAATTGATGAGTCAGTATGTGCTTTTGTTTTGGTGGTTTTCTTACGAAATTCATTGACAAATGGTAATAATAATTTTGCATAACTGAAACTTTCAGCTTGCCCAAAGTAGTTAAGAGACGGGTGAATGCTCTCAAGAATCTTCAAGTTAAGTGTGCACAGATTGAAGCAAAGTTTTATGAAGAAGTTCATGAACTGGAAAGAAAATACGCAGCTCTCTATCAACCCTTATTTGATAAGGTAATAACTTCATGCCATTTGGATTTAACTGAAATATCAAAGAAAAGATTCCAAGGGAATATACTATGGGTATTCACATATCACGCATACCTTTTCCACAAATATCAGCTTCCCAAAATTGGGATGTGTGTCTTAAGGAGGGAAGCTGATTTTCTGCCCAGAATAGAAGTACCCTGCTTTGATTCCTGCCCCACCATGCAGCAGCAGCAGCAGTGGTGTTATTATTCAGGAAGCTGAGGGAATCAGTTGACTTGATTTTTCTTCACTCCACAGGTGTTAAAGATCAACTCCCCTTTTCACTGGACTTGATATTCCATTAAATTTGCTGTCTGCTAGCTGTTCTCAGTGTCTCTTCCCCTATTTCACAGCCCTGGAGACACTTTAATTCTTTTCAAAATAGTTGAGTCTCTCATGGAGATCAGTCTTCAGCAGCAGCCAAACAGAAAAGGGAGAGTGAGTTATATGAAGGTTATGATAGGTCCCTGCTCTGTGTAGTCATAACTCCAGCAAAATCTTTTTCTTCATTCTGCCTTCCCAAAAACAAGGTGCATGTCTTATTTAGGGGCATTTGGTACATGAGAAAATATGGTATATCAGTGTTGAATGTCAGTGCTCAAAAGTACTTTAAACCCATACTAGTCCAGATTGGCTAACACCTGTTCACATAGATGCCTGCATTGGAGTCAGAGTGATTAAGGAGTTGCCTGTCTACCAGACTGTGGTCTAAACAATTCCACTGTCTTGGGTCCCATCCAGTATGCTGTAGACAGATGTCAGAAGAGGTAGAAATCCCCTTGGTATTGGATGCTATAGAAAGGAATAAATGAAGCTAGTAAAACCACCCTCAAGTGAAAGATAAAGATGTAAGCAGGTGAGGTGCTGTACCCTTACAAAGAACTTTTAGCATGAGGAGTGTTTTTTAATGTGGATTTTTCAGACTGCATAGTTTAAGTAAACCTGAAAGGTTTTCTGGTTTAACTTTCTAGCGAAGTGAAATCATCAATGCAATTTACGAACCTACAGAGGAAGAATGTGAATGGAAAGCAGATGTTGAAGAAGAAATTTCAGTGAGTATCTAAGAAATTGCTTGCTTTTTTCAGGAATTACCACTAAGTAGGAGCTGGTAGGGTAGTAAAACCAAAACGCCAACAATAAAATTCTCATTTGCAGTTCTCTGAATCTCTAAAGAATAGCTGTGAACTTAGGGTACATGCTGACTTAGCGCTTGTGTTTAGCTGTGTCTGTGTTAGCTGAATATCTAATCACTGGGGCATATTAATTTTTAAATCTTTGAAATCTTAACTTTTTTTTTATTTTGAAGGATGAAATGAAAGAAAAGGCAAAGCTTGAAGAAGAGAAAAAGGATGAAGAAAAAGAAGACCCTAAAGGAATTCCTGAATTTTGGTTGACTGTATTTAAGAATGTTGACTTGCTCAGTGATATGGTTCAGGTAAATGGAGATATTTAGGACTACAGATTTTAAACGTGAGGCTAAAGGTAACTGTGTTCCCCTAAAAATTTATTGAAAGTGACAAGATTTGGTACTATTGTTGGTAGATAAAGTAACTTTCGGTCCAATTTTTGGTACTTCAGTTGACATTTCTTTAAACCAGTATTTTTTTGCTATGTTCTTTCTTATTACATCTGACACATCCTACTCTTGAAGTTGCCAGTTACATTGTACACACACAGGTGTAATCATTCAGTGATTACTTGCATATCAGATGTAATTCTATATAGTTTTTATACTTAAATAAGACTAAGATTTGCATTACAATTGAAATTACTTTTGAAATTCTGTACTGTTGCTGCTGTTGCCCTCTGCTGGTCATTCATTTATGTAAGATGCTTATCACAAGTTTGTTCTTGTCTGATGTAAGACCATGTAAATATGCCTTTGCACTTTTATAATTTCTGTAACTGACCTTAGTCAACTCTGAGAAATCTTTGTTTTATATTGATTAACATTTTTGTGTTCAAAGGAACATGATGAGCCTATCCTGAAACATTTAAAAGATATCAAAGTGAAGTTCTCAGAAGCTGGTCAGCCTATGGTAAATATAACATGTTTGATGCTTCTAATGCTACATGGTAATTGAAAAAAAATACGTTTGGACACCAAAATAAGGTTCTTAATTTAGGTATAAAATATTTGATTGAACTCCTCTGAAATCAGCCTTTTAACAAAATAGTACTAGTACTCTGTTACCACAGTACAATATAAAGGAATAACAACCTATGTAGTATTTCAGTCTAACAACCACTCCTGTCCTTGCATCAGTGGGATATTGACAGTGCCCTCACCCCCCTGATTTACCTGTGGCAGATTACTGTTTCTGGTGTTTTGGGACCTTGTGCTTGTCAGTTTTGTGACAGGGTTCTTTGTGTAGTTTTAAGATTAGATTAGACTAATGCTTATATAGTTTAGTTTCGATAGGAATGATCATGCCTTGACCAAGTGGTCCCTTCCAACCCTACTTCTCTGTGATTCTGTAATTGAACAGATATGAAACTAGCTTTAGCCAGCTGTACTGATTTCTAAGACCGAATTGCTCAAAATCGTTTGAATATAATTGATTTGCAAGAAATGACATGGTGTGCTGAGTAAAATGAGCTTGATTATTTCTACAGTAGTCCATAGACTTAGCACAAAGACTACTGCTCGCCAGTTGATTTAACTTCAGATGCCATCACAAGCAGTATATTGGTAGTTGAAAGTATAACTTTGATCTTCCTGATAATTCTAAATGGCAATATCAGATTAAGAAAAAGTAAACTTGCTGTAGTTCCAGATGTAAATTGTTCTAGCACTTGGGTGAAAAGCTAAAAAGACATATTCTGTAATATAACATCAGCTCCTTGAATATTAGGTTTTCTTTCATTATGACCGAAGTTAAAAGATGTAAATATTGTTTTATTGCTAATGGCAGTATTTTTCTGCAATTCTCCTAGAGTTTTACATTAGAATTTCACTTTGAACCAAACGACTACTTCACAAATGAAGTGTTGACAAAAACGTATAGAATGCGATCAGAGCCAGATGATTCTGATCCCTTCTCCTTTGACGGACCAGAAATTATGGGTTGTACAGGGTAAGTATTAATATAGAACTGTAATTAATAGTTCTATTTCCTACAATGCTTTGAGTGTCTAAATATGAGCATTATGAAATGGTAGGCTTTCTGCTATTTTTCCTGCCTTTACAAGTAGTAGTGCACTGATACATTGGTCCAATATTGGATTGGTACTGATATACAGAAAAATGGTTGTATTGGATATCGGCCCGATGGGGCCCATAATTTGGCCGATAAATGCCCACGCTGCACTCAGGCAGCGAGGAGCACAGCCGGCAGCATGGAGAGCTGCCTTTAGTTGGTAAGTCCGGTGTGGTGGAAGGGGGAGGGAAGGGGCTTGGTGGGGAGGCGGGGGGAATCCAATTCCTCTCTGGTGAGGGAGGAGGCAGAGGTGGCACTGCCCAAATGGGGCAGAGGGGCTGTTGCCATGGCTTTGTGGGGGGAGAGGCATCTCCTGCCACTGCTTGCACCCTGGGAGGGCTTGGGAGCGGGGAGGGGAGTGCCCCCTGATCTGTGCGGAGTGGGGCAGGCTGCAGCCAGGGCTGCATGGTGCTCTTCTCGGCGGGGGCTGGGCTTGGAGCAGGCGCCGGCAGCACTGGGAGGATGCTGCATCCACCCAAAATTTCGCTGCCGCTTCGCTTCCAGCGCAGCTGCTGCCAGCTTCTTCGAACAGCCCTGGCTCTTCCTGGCATGAGTGGAGGTAGAACAGTGGCCCCCTCACAACCCAGTACCTGTGCCCTCCTGGGGTGCAAGCAGCAGCGGAAGCTGCCTCCCCTCCCACAAGCTGCGTTTCTGCACCACCCCCGCCCTGCTTGGGCAGCCCCTGCCTCTGCCCCCTCCCTAACCACGTGGGGGCGTTCATCTGCCCCTCCTCCCCATGCCCTTACCTCCCCCCTCGCCTTCCACCATGCTGGACTTACCAGTTGGAGGCAGCTGTATCAGAAACTGGACTGGTATCGGCCAGTATGCCTCCTTAAATATCAGCTATCAGTACTGGCCCCAAAAATCTCTATCTGCACACCCCTATTTACAAGACATGTAGGTTGAACTTTTTAAAGCACTCGAAAGATTTAGGCAACTTCCCTCTGAAATCAGGATTGATTTTGGAAACTTGATCCATTGTTTTTGATTAATTTTGAGGTCATGTTTACAATATTTGATTTGAGTCCTATCTTTGTGTCATTTTTTTCCAAATTAATCTTCTAGATTAAATACTCTGGTAAAGAAGAAATCCTACAATTTGTTAAATTGAGACTCGTCAAACCATAACTTTTAGGTCATGTCTCAAATATTCTCCCTCCACCCTCTCCCATCCCCCATGGTCTGTATGGTTGAAAAACTCTTATACATATACTAGCTAAATTGTCTGTCTCTTCAGATCCTTGGGGGAAAAAAGTATATTGTTCATGCAGCATCTGAATGATTCATGAAAGGAAAATGTCACCTGGTTTAGTGTACTGTTTGAAGAGAGCTGTCTGTGGCGTGAGAATTATCTGAAGTCTTGTAGAATGCTGAGCAGAAGAATAGTGCTGAATGTGTAATCCTTGGTTTAAACTAAAATTGATATTGATTTATACAACCTAAAGCTCAAAAATCAAACAGTATATGAAGGAACCTCAAAAAACTGTTTGTGTTGGCAAAATTTGAGGTTTCCTTATTCTTCCCTCTTTTTTTTTTTTTTTTCTTTAACTTTTTAGGTTTCCTTATTCTACCCTCTTTTTTTTTTTTTTTTCTTTAACTTTTTTTTCTGCTTGTCTTGTAAACTTTTTGTAGGTGGGGATAATTTTCGGAGTAGATTGAGTGACATTGGTCACATTAGTCTGCAATTTTCTGGCTCCAAATTTCTGGTGATAATCAAAATAACCTTCAAAATCCATTTAATTTGCTATACTTGTTTATATTAACTATATGTTTAAAATAGTGGTTGTCTTAGTAAGCAGAATGAATAAAATTGTAAATGCATTACTTGAAGCTCAGATGTTTTTTCCTCCCTTATTTTTTGCAGATGCCAAATAGACTGGAAAAAAGGAAAGAATGTTACTTTAAAAACCATTAAAAAGAAGCAGAAACACAAGGGACGTGGAACAGTTAGAACAGTGACAAAAACTGTGTCAAATGACTCTTTCTTCAATTTCTTTAGCCCCCCTGAAGGTAAATTGTATCTGGATTTGCTTGCCATTAATTTTAAATGTAGCATCTGCTTTTGGTTTGGGTTTTTTTTAATCACTTCTTTTCCTCTTCCTTTACAGTTCCTGAAAGTGGAGACCTGGTAAGTTGGGGGTGAGGATGCGGGGGGGGGCCTTCAGCATACAGTAAATCTTGAAAATGGAATGTGTGTACTATAAGTGATGGTTTGGAAAGGTATTAAACTGCTGTATCAGGTTTTTCCATATCTGTAATATTACTTAACACAGGATGGACAAACTTTTAGGAGAAGTGGACAGAATTAAAGGAATTTGATCCAGCAGCAGGCTTGTTACTTGTGACCCAGCTGCTGAATTGCTGCCAATGTCCTGATTTTGCAGACTGGATTAAGTCATTTGGCAGGGTAGATCTTGCCTGTGGACTGTAGGTGGCTGACTCCCGATATAGCATGGTTTTTTTGACTTCCCTGTTAGGAGGTGATACCCATAGCCAGCAAGAGGAGAATTCTCCTTTGTAAGCTTTAGCCTTTTCAGTGTTTCTTAGTTTTACAAGGCAATTGCAGTTTATTCTTCTAAACTTTGAATAACTTGATGGTTCTGAATAAAGAACTGGTAGTCCCAGCCTATGACTGGTTGACTGGTATCAAACATGAGAGTACTGTCTCGACTTGTATTTAGACTTCTAAAATTATTGAATTTACTGTTTCTGAAGTACTGTTGTCTTTTATACAGGATGATGATGCTGAGGCAATCCTTGCTGCAGATTTTGAAATCGGTCACTTTTTACGTGAGCGCATAGTCCCACGATCAGTATTGTACTTCACAGGAGAAGCTATTGAAGATGATGATGATGATGTGAGTAATACTTCCAGCCGTCCAAACATTCTTGAACAATGGTGTTTTGTTAAAATTGATTGATTAGTATGTTACCGTTTTTAAGGCACCTCTTGTGTCTAACTCGTCAATGTTTAAATATTATCTACAGTGATATCTTCAGCTCTGTGCAGGTTCTCCCCAAGCTGCACAGTCTAAGGGCTTAGAATAGTCTAGGGCTTCACCTAGCCATTTAAGAGTATGGGGAGGGAGATAGTTGTTATCTGTTTTGCCAGAACAATCTTGCAGAAAATGCTGGTAGAACAATGTATGGAATCAGTCATGCTAATAGATCTGTTTTAATTGCCTACGTAAAAAGTTAGCACTTAAAGGTGTTATCAGGTCATAATAAAGTCTATTTTTAAGGAAATATCAATGCAACAAAATACTTCAAAGCCATGGCTACCGGAATATAGTAAACAGTACAGAAGAAACTCATTAGAACAGAACTTGTAAAGAATTTTTCATAGTAACAGCAAATGCCTTTTGCCAGTTCTTGACGATAGAAAGTAGTTTTGTTGCACTTAAATCTTTCTTATCAGTGAATTAGATTTCCAGTCTAAATCCAGATGGCAACTCATTTGATATATACAAAAACTCTCATAATTCTTTGCTCTCCATATTTTAAATAAAGTTGTGTGTGAAAATCTGATAAATAATTTTCTAATGATAAAACCTTTAAGGAGAAATAAATACAGTTACCATATGTTATGGTGTATAGATCAACATATTGTATAAGTCGACCCCATATTTCTGTTTAAAAAAAAAAAAAAAAGATTTGTGTATGTGGACTCTACCTCAGCGTGTGAGGTGCTGGAAGCTTGCGTGGGCTTATGGGAGTGGTGGCATGCTGGTGACCTCCCAGGAAGTTGGATTGGGCCCCTGTGGGCAGTACCTGGCCTACTGGCAGCCTGACCAGCCAGCCCCAGGGGACACCACCACCATGGAGGGAAGGACTGGACCCCTTGCAGCTCACGGGATGCCTGACCCAGTGGCAGGGAGGCTCTGCCAGTAGCAGGAATCAGGCACTTTGCTGCTTCTTCCTTCATCAGGCACCTGGAGCTGCCCAGGAAGGTGTTGGCTTGCCCCAGGGGCGGCGCAGGATGTTGGGCAGGGGCAGGGAGGGAGGCTATGGTGTCAGGCATGAGAGGGGGAGGCTACGGGTGTCAGGCAGGACCACCACTACCCACCTTCCCTCCCTTCCCCCCACCTCTGCTGCCAGCCTCTGCCTTGCTGCTGCCTGACACCTCGCGCTACCCCTGGGGCAAGCCAGCCCCTTCCTGGGAAGCACTAAGCATCCTGCAGGCGCCTGCTGAAGGCAGAAGCAGCAAGGCACCCAATCCTGCTTTCAGTGAAGCTGCCTGGCAGCCAGGAACGAGCTGCTGCCGGGCCAGGCAGCCCTGAGCTGCAGGGGTGTGGGAAGCAATCCTTGCCCCTCTGTAGCAGTGGTGCTAGATTCTTGGTAAATAAACTGTCTTCAGGGCCAGATTTTTTTATTACGCAAAAAAAAAAAAAAAAGTACCAATCATCTCCTTTTTCCTTTCCCCTCCACCAGTAGCTGTAATGCATCTTTCACATGAGAATAGAGGAGGGCAGGAGGAAGATGCAATGGAGGAGCTCAGGGAGTGAAACGGTGTAAAAATTATTGCTTGGCATAGCACCTTTCCCATGATAAACTGGAAAAATGGTCCAATATTCACAGAATGAAATTGATTAAGTATGAAGTCTTGCACTTAGGATGGAAAACTCAAAGGCGCAAATATAGATAGGAGAATGATTTGCTAGGTTTTAGTACTGCAGAAAAGGACCTGGTGGTTTTAGGAGACTACCAGTTGAACATGAATCAACAGTGTGCTATTGCTGCAAAAAATGAAACAAACAGTGGTGTAGTGGAGGGGTTGTCAACTGGGCGTATGTGTACCCCTCGGGGTACTTGGCAACGCCCTAGGGGGTATGAACGGGCAGGCGGGGATGGAGTGGACAGGGCTGGCACAGGCACTGCCTGGCCAGTCGGATGCAAGGGGTAAGGGAAGCTTGCACGTGGTGGATGCGGCCACCAGCTACTACCCTGCACTGCTGCTGCTCTGTGCCCAGTCATGTGCCACCCTCTGCCCCCTCCATCCCCTCACCCATCACACCTTGTTCTATAGACTTGCCTGCATGAGCTGCCAGGGATGCTCCCACCAACCTACTTGTATTGCCTACCGCCGTGTGTGTGCACGTGTACGGTGCCAGCAGCAACAGCTCCCATGGGAAGCACAGTCCACTGCACCCCAGGCCTGCTGGTCCCCACACTGTCAGGCACCTGCACTGCTATCACTCCAGGCACCATGCCTGAAAGAGAAAGGGACTCGGGAGGTGCTGCCAAAGTCCCAGCCCAGAGGAGGAGGAGAGCCTGGCCCTGCTTCCAGTCACTCTACCCTAGCTACTGCTAGACCCAAGCAGTTCATTGCAGGTTGGAATTCTGCCACTCTGCAAGGGGAAACTCATGGTTTCCTGCTGCAAACAGGGAAAATCCAGGTTTTTCTGCAGGGAATGGAAAACCGAGATCCCTGCTTATCACATTGTTACTCTCTTACGTGCCTAGAAATAGAGTTTTGGTTGACCCGCTCCGTGATCTTTCCAAGTATTGAGGTCAGACTGGACTGCTTTGTAACTCCCTGGATCTTCCTCCTTCCCTTTCTTAAAGATGGACATTATTTGCCATTTTCCAGTTGTCTGAGTTGACACCTGACCTCCACAAGTTCTCAAAGAGACTAGCCAGTGGTTCTGCAGTTACCTCAGCCAACTCCTTGAGTACTGTAAAGTGAATCTTACAGCTTCTGTTTTATAAGATTTCTTTTTTGAGTTTCCACTCGTTAGAGAGAGCACTGTAGCCAGGCCAGTCTCTGCTGCATTTCTGTTCTTTCCTTTCACCGAGATAACCATCTCTTAAGTGTTTTAATATGTTCTCTTTCAGGCACAATCAGCTCTCCTGGAGCAGTTTTACCCTCAGACCTGCCTCCCAGGGGATCCTCCCCACTAGTTTCTTGTTTTGATAAAATCTGCTTTTCTGTAGTCCAGTGTCATATTTTGCTGTTCTCCTTCCTTTCTTTCCTTAAGATCTTGAACTCTATCCATGGTCACTGTTACTCAGGTTGCCATCCACCTTCCATTCTCAACCAATTTCTCCCTATTCTTGAGCAGCAAATCCCTCTCTCCACTCCCCTGCTAGCAGCAAATCAAGACTGTTCTTCTATTATCTGCACCAAAAAAATATTTAATGATCTTCAAGATCTTGCTGGACTGTCAGCTCACTCCTGCTACTCTTCCACCAGTAATTAAATCCCCCTTTTGGGCCCTGCAATTTGGAAACCTTGCCCACCATTTCCTACTGGCTTGCTGGTCACTAGCAGACATGCCTCTTGATCCTTGCTGTTTTTCCTTTTTACCTTGGAGACTTTGAATAAGCTTACCTCCTGCTTCAAAATACACCTCAAAACAAATGTATGTCACACACAGCAGACAGGCAGGTGGAAAAAGGGGTGGTGTTATTTTTGTGTGTATGTTTGCTCACACATGCATGTACCCATGTGTATTTTACATACGTTTGATATACTTTATACTTCTTATATATATACATGCACTTTAGATTGTAGCACCACCACATTTTTCCCCTGCCTGTCTTTCTTGGCTGAGTTTTGCCCTTCTATGGTAGTATTCCAGTCATGTGAACTATCCCACCAAATCTTTTATACCAGTTACATCATACTTCTTTGTACTAGAACTTCCAGTTCTTCCTGCTTATTGCCCATGTTTCTTGCATTAATATATAAACATCTTAGATGGCTCGCTAACTATCCTGCTTATCTCCTGCTGAGAACATAAAGGCTCCCTATATAATTTTGCTTGGTTCCTTTTCTACCCTGTACTCTCTATTTAACCTGTGGGCTTTTATCTCTGCTCCCCATTAAACCAAATTTAAAACTTTTGTTGCTAACTTATTGAGTGTATATGTAAAACACTCTTACCTTACTTTTATCAGGTGGACCCCATCTCTGCTAAGCAGTCCTTCTTGGAACACCACTCCATGCTCACAAATGAGAAAGCAGAGAAAACTTGTTAAAACAAAATAAATTGTCACTCCCTGAAGGATCATTATAATGAACATTCCTTCTATAGATACCTAATCTTCTGTTCAAATAAGAACATATTATTAAAGATGCGAATTATAGTATTAAAATATTAGGAGAAAATAGAATTATGGTTGTCTGTGCTCTTAAGGTAGATCTTCATATACATGCGTATGCATTAATAATGCATTTTAACTATATGGTTATACTGTTATTCCATAAGAGCCTACCTTATTCGATCCACAGAATGAGTAGCTCTTAATTAATGAGTAGCTGCTCAGTGTTTCATTTGATGCTCTTTGTTGTTTGGGTCTCGTGCCTTATTTATTAAACACTAATCAAAACTGGGAGCGGAGATGGAAGTACTGAATTTTCATGGCACTAATTGCTATTGTATCTGGGTATTTCACAAGCTTAGTTACAAAATTTAGCTCTGAAATTAAATTATCTATTGTCCGTGTGTTATAGATGAAGAATTGGCTATATTGTAAATGGCTTACAACACTGTACTAAAAATGCATATTTTCCCCTCTTTCCTAGTATGATGAAGAGGGTGAGGAGGCAGATGATGAGGTAAGTTATTAGATGGGCTAAGTGGAGAAAAAAACCCTAACCTTTGCTGGAACTTCACTGGCAACAGCAGTAGACCTTATTTGCAGTTACATTAGAGTAAATTTCTACAGCAGTTCGGGCAGACAAAGATACCATCAATAGTAGGTAAAAGATTTGCAATTTGCTGTATGGAAACAGATCTTTACTGTACTGACAAACTTCTGAATGTTGGATTAATATTAACCTGTGAAGTCCACTTAACTAATCTGAACAAGAATATTTTTTATGTGAAACTTTCTCTTCTTCAGGAAGGGGAGGAGGAAGCAGATGAAGAAAATGACCCAGATTATGACCCGAAGGTGAGCAGCATTCATGAAATAATTTTGTTAAAATGTTGGTTTTTGTTTTGTGTTGTTCTTTATTTGACTAGGCAGCATGCCGCTTATAGTTCAGACTAGGATTGTTCCCTGTGAGGAATAGGGTCCATGTTCTTTGACGTTCTAGGGCCCCTGGCAGATGTTAATATAATTGCAGGATTGGGAAATGTTTAATTTTATCCCAGTTCTCAAAAATGGCATGTTCTGCCATGCCACATATGAATGGAAGAACAGGTGACCTTTTTGAGAACTAGGATAACATTTGTCAGATCCTGATTACACAGCAGGCATGTTGGGAAGGTGGTGGGGAGCTGGCATGGGGTAACATTTTTTTGTTGCTGTGTAACTGGCTGGTGTCTCCTTGAGAAATAGGGATGTGAAAGGTTAAGTGATTAATAGTTTGGCTGATAAGCCAACCTGTTATCACTGGCTTACCGGTTAGTGAGGCAGGTTTCAGTTTGGCAGGGGAAGGGAAGATGCGCAGGAACCAGAAAGCAGGAGGGAGGGGTGAAGAGGGGCTAGTACCCATAGCCTATAAATAGGTTAAAGAGGAAAACATCAGGCAGTCTAATGACTCATCAACAGGGATCCTGGTTTTGTCTGTTAATAAGAAAATTTTGGATTTAAAAAAAACTCAACAACCCAAATCGACATTTTTTCCATGATTATAACAAAATGCCACTATATCTGTATCTATCTCTCTATATAGAGAGATATAGCTATAGTGGCATTCCATTTTAATCATGGAAAAATATCGATTTGCGGGGGGGGTATAAAATCAGAACATTTTGGACTTTTTTTATCAGAGAAAACCAGGATCCCTGCTTATCTATTAAGCAAATGGCTATTTCTTCACAGGTGCTCCCTCCTTCCCAGCTCTGGGCTTTATGTGGGCTGTGTTGTGTATCTGGGCTTGCCATCACCTCCTCCCCTCCCATCAGAGGGCCCCAGAACCCACTCACAGCAGCAGCTGTCTGAGCTTCTTTGTTATACTGATTAAACAATTAACTGATAACTAGAGGCTAAACAAATAATTTTTAAGTGATATTTATATCCGTATTGAGAAGGGAATCTGGTTACGGTTCTGCAGTTGTGGGGCATTTTGCTAGTAAGGGAGTGTCCTTCTGGCAGCTTAAAACCCAGAGGGGAAAGCAGAAAGGGGTGAACTATGAAAAAACAGGTTACAGGGAAGGAAGCCAGCTGCAAGCAAAACAGCTAGCTATTGCATAGGACCAGGGTGCTGTGCTGGGGGCTAGAGCCAAAGGGGTTTTCCTGGGACGGCATAAGGATTTGGTTTTGTTTGCTTTATTTTGCGGCTTAAACTGTTTTCTTTGGGAGGAATGGCTGAGAAGCTCTTCAGGGAAGTCACTAGGCTAAACAACCTGCTTATGGGCTGTTTTTTTTTTTGTCTTGGTATTAATTGCTGGACCATGCAACAGGGTTACTGTTATGGAGTGATTAACAATGTCCACCACAAGCCTAGCTCTCCTATCCGCAGCAGGGGGCCACAGCTGGTCCCAAACCCCATTCTTAGGGATGTACTGAATTTGCGGTGGTGCCCACCAATTTTTGCGGGCAGATCTCGGGGCCTTGCAGCCATTTTGTGGGTTGAGCGTGGTGGGTCCTACCATGGTGGCCCTGCCCCTCGCTACTTATTAGCTATGAGCACTGCCTGACATACAGCCCTGCCCCTCACTGCTGCTTGGAGAGATGGGGCCACATGACAGACAGCGCTCACAGCCAATCAGCAGCAAGGAGCAGAGGTGACAACCATCTTGCTGGCAGCCCCTTGATCAGGCAGCTCCCCATTCCCTGCCCCAGTGGGTTGCCACAGCACCATGAAGACTTCTGGCTCTATCTGGGACAGCCAACATTTTATTTTCTGTGAGTTTTCTTTCTTTTTTCCCCCCATGGATTTTGCTGGCAATTCCCAGTTTTGCAAAATTGCGATTTCGGTAGGTCCCTACTCATTCAATCTCCCTGTCTTCCTCAGCAATGTATTGTAGGATTTAAAAGAATTACACAGGGCAAAACATGACCCCCCCCTCCCCCAGCCCTGCTGAAGGGCAACACTAAAAGGCCACAGGACAATGAAGAAGAAGCACCTGCTCCAGGGTGGCCTGCAGGCCTTAAGGGACCCATGGTCAGGCAGGTGTATCTACCTTCTCTGGTTTGCGTAGATATGCGTGGTAGGAATTACAAACCTTATGCAGGTATCATAAAAATCAATTAGGAGAAGGACTCCTTCCTTAGCAGTACAAGCATGTCTCTAAACTTCATTAAGGATTTGGGTTGACTAACCATTGTCAAGCTGATCAGTAGTGCTTACCGAGTCAGTACCACAGATGGAAATGTAGTAACAGACTTATTTCTGTCTTATCAAAATAGACCCTTTGGAGAATCTCTTAGATTATCTGACTTGCTGGGAGAAGATCAGTGAGGCAGTTTTCATTCAGGCCATTGAAGTAGATCTCTGGTTGTAACTTCACTAACAGCGGTGAATACAACACTTGAACTCTGGTGTTGAGGTATGCTCTGGTGGCTTCCCTCAGATATATCCCTATCACAGATATAGGCAGTTGTACAGTAAGTTACCCTATGACCAGTGGCATTTCTGTTGTTCATATGAAACTGGGTCAACTTCTCAGACTGGTTTCAGGAGAAATATTACAGAAAAATGTTTTCTACTTTCCCAACATATTAAAATGCAAGGCTATATTGTAACCTGGATTACTGTTTTACCCAATGTGAGTCCTCCCACAGTTGTGAAAGTTCTGCTTTTATCTGGAAAATGGCTATGAAATGGGGGTGGAAGATAATGTTGTCTGTGAAGCAGGCAGGTACTAGACACACTTTTGTGGCAGAGGCCTGTAAGTTTCCCCTACGTACTAGAAACCTCCTTTAAACAATGTGCAATGTATCAGCCATTTGCTTTGCAAACTGACTTGAAGGATGTTGCCAGCCTTCGCTGTGGAAAACTTTTAAGTAGTGCTGTGCTTCAGTGGGCACAAATGAAAGGATCTCCACATAGCAAAAATCAGTGGGTTGTACAGATGCATCATGCTTCTCACCAGTGACAGCTAGGATAAGATCAGATATTTTTAAGTTGTCATACTGTTATGTATGTTGTCATATATAACGAAGGTACATATGGTAATGACTTGTTCCAGCAGTGCTAGACTTGATGGAAGGATGCACTTAGGATTACAGCATACTTAGAAAGAAGTTAAAGAAATGATTGCTAAAAGTGGCTTTCATTTAGAAATTGCTTCTGTTTCTACACAGTAGCCAGGACTGCTGTTGCAAGGGTAAGAAGAGTTATATCCAAGAAGAAAGAGTTCTCACTGGCTGTTTCAGCCAACAAGGAGAGGCTTGTTAATATTTGTAAAACAGTAGTAAACATTAGGGGTATGTCTGCACTGTAATCCAGAGATCTAATTGCAGTTTGTATAGATGCATCCAAGCTAACTTTCTGCTTCCGGGATGAGTACTGATAGTGTAGCATGGCAGCCCAGGCTTGTTGAGTTGCCTGGGGCCCTGCGAAGTACTTTGTGGCTGAAGTGCACTTTTTTAGCTGCACTCCTATTGGTACCTACACTAGTAGGTTAAAGCTAGTTCAGGTATGTCTATCCAAGCTGCAGTTGGATATCTGGGTTGCAGGTACAGATGCCCTTAATGGGCTCCATACTAAAAACATGGAAGCTCAAGCTTGCTCTTGAAGCTAAAATTAAATAGTTTTCCATTTGCACTGATCTCTTGTATCCAAACCATTCTTTCCTATCCCTTCCCTTCCCTTCCCATGCGGTGAAAGCAGTTGATACTGGAGCACAACAGTAGATACTGGCTGTCCTGTTGAACTACTTGTATCTGCCATGACAGAAATAATCAAGTTGACTTAACAGTTGAGACGAGATGGGGCTTAATTGCTTGCTGCAGTTAGGCTAGTTGTTTGCTCATCCCTATATGCTGACTGGATATTAGCTGTTACCAGGGCATCTACAGCCCCAAAGCTCTTTCAGAGGAAACTGAAGGATAGCTGTTGCTCAGTCCAGCTAACTAGGAACCAAAGAGCGGAATTAGCGTGTTCAAATAGATATGAAAGTCCCTTTCTCTCAGCCCTGTCCAAACCAAGCTCTATCTCTATACGCATGTGAAAATGATCAGAATTAGGGCGAGAGCTGGGCATTAAATTTGAGAATTGTGGTGCCAACAGTGAGCGGGGCAGATAAACGATGCCCTTGTCTTTAAGGAGATAATATTCTTAAAGTATAGGATAAATACTTCTGTTATCCTGAACAAGCTTGAAAATAGGTGCAGAGCAGCAGATAGTAGATGATTTAAAGTTGTGATATCAGGTGATGTATTGTAACAAGCAAAACAGAAAGTGACACTGCCTGGCAATGAAGTAGGTTTCAAGCCAGTAGCTGTACTTGCTTCCCATGATAAAACATACCTTCAGTCCATCTCATTATGCACAATTGTGAGAAATAGTTTCCTGGCTTTTTGCTGTGTCCAGTTAAAGCAATTTGGATTATTGCTAAGGCTTCATGCCTCTGCTTTAACCTTCCAAAACACCTACAGTTTACCTTGAAGCCTTTTCACTTATACTCAGCAATTTTGCAATCCTGTATGTTTCATTCATCGATTCTTTGTGTTGTAACGCTAAACATCATTGTTAGTGCCAATTGCTGGGTTGACTGTAAAGGATTACTCATCTCCTTGGATTTGCTTGATGATTGCTTAGGTTCATTTCTACTCCTGCTTGGCTGGCTAAGCAATATAATCTTATAAGAGGCGTGTTCCAATTACTTCCAGAAAGTGTTGACAGACACCTTTTTTGGTCCCCCTCCAGCATAGCATCTTTTCTGAATGCTGTCAGGCAGTTGATAGAATAAACAGGGAAGCAGTCCAAATGTCCCAACAACCCCCACATTCTGTGCTTAGTGCACATGGGTAAACAACTGTATCAGACCAAGTTTTTCCATTGTGATTAAGAGCTTCAGTTAGAGAAGCAATAAAAGGGTCTTAAAATAACATTTCTGTCTTCCTCGCATGGTGCCATGCTATCTACAAGGGTGTGAACCTATCTATCACTAGAACCTGATATCTCATTTCAGCGCCTACTGTAGCAGGTTCACATTCTCATAGTAATGCCTTGCTGCATTCATCTGCATACCAGAACTATACTGCTAATCCTTTTCCTTTTTTTATGCAGACACCTGTACAGGAAAGGCCATATGCCAGCTCATGGTCTGATTCTCAGGATTGGTTATGTTCGTGTTCACTAGGGATAGGACAAGAAATAATGAGCTTAAATTGCAGCAAGTAGGATTTAGATTAGATATTACAAAATCCTAACTATAAGGATAGTTTAAGCACTGGAATAGATTACCTAAGGAGGCTGTGAAATTTCTATCACTGGAGACTTTTAAGAACAGGTTAACTTTTGGAAAGTTTATTCTGCCTTGGGGAAAGGGAATAGACTGGATGATCTCTTGATGTCCCTTTCAGTCCTAATTTCTATGATTAACTTGCTTATACTGCATTTATTTTTTTCTGAGTAATATTATTGTATATAGAATGCATCTCTGTTTATTCCCGTTATGTATAGATAGGCTCCTTAGAGCTTTCGTATTGCAAGCGAATACATACTTGCTGATTTTGATTGATGCTTTAGAAAAATGACTCTGCGTACACTGACTCTTTTTTTTCCCTCTTCAACAGAAAGATCAAAACCCAGCAGAATGCAAGCAGCAGTGAAGTAGTGTGTATGTGGCCTTGAGGATTACCTGCACTGTAATAGCCTAAACACAACTATTAGTTACTTACAGCCTTATGTTTTGTATCTTCTTGGTAGAATTAAGTAAACAATTTGTTAAAAATTAAATCAAAAACATAAGAACCAGTTTAAAATGTAGGTTCATTCTACCTAGTATTTTAATAGTATAATTTTCTGCCAATATGTAGAATGCAGTAAACCCCCTAAAGCATGAATGTTAATTCATTGCTACATAGTTTGGTTCTTGTGAAGTCTTGTCATGTAGCTATTAGACAGCAGCTGTGAAGATTATTGGAACTGTTAACTGAGACCAATATTTGTTTAGGAAAAAATCCTCTCCTGAAGAACCAACCAAAGTATTTGCAGCCCAGTAGTTTGAACGGGTTTAAGTCTGCTTGCACTAGCTGTGCCTTCATTACTTTGTTATAGAAATGGCGGTGACTTGTACTAACTAGGAGATGATGTATTCTGAATTTGACTACTTGAGAAGACTAGTATAATTCATTTTATTTCCCAACAAGACCACATTAACTGTTCATAACTGTCAGCTTGTTTATGCTATGGGTTTTTGTATTTTATGTGACATAGTGATCTACAAAAAAAAAATAAAGAAAAAAACTAGTCATCATATTAAGGTTATTGTTTACCACTGGGGTGTGAATAAAACCTAGTATTTTCAGAAGCTAGTCTTCTTTTATTATGCTCTGTGTATGTTTGTACATGTCTTTCATGCTGTAGTTCATTCTTCTTAGTAGCAGCAAATTCACTTTTAAATAACTTCTTATAAGCAAACTGTTAAAACACTTAAGCATGACTATTCACAATGATTTTGTTGTCAGTGCAATAGGAATAATAAGTGGACATGAATTTCAGTTATCTCACTGGCTTACAGTCAATGCTGTGTGCCATTTAAGAAAACAAATGTCAGCTTCAGATATGAGGCTAGATCCAGTAAAGGGAAGTATTGCAAGTTGGCCACTACATTCCCTATTCTTCAGGCATCTCAGCCATCATTTGGAATCCAGAACCTGAATCTAGGTGCCCCATCCAGTGTGTGGGAAGGATTAATGTCTGAGTAGGAACAAAAGTAGCTAATATGCTGAATGGGTAGCCTACTGGAGGTAGTCAGTACAGAAATTCCTAGGACAAAGGTGTGTCTCAATTGCTGGTCCTCTCTGATGTTTAGGTATCTCAGTCAGAGCTGTAGGCAAGCACTTTCATTTCAGACATGGGGGCACTCTCCTGAGGGTAGGCATCTGTAGGTGATCAGGATTCGCTGGCTTGTTTTGAAAGCACAGCTGCAGAAGGAAGAGGCTTTGTCCCTCATTCATTACATAACTGCTTATAGTGTAGGACACATGCCCAGAAAGTAAAAAAACTGGTTCAGACTCTCCTTAGCCTGAGGGGGTTCCCACCTCCCAGATGACCCAGCGCTCTAAACACCTGGTTGGATGGGATGTTCTTCCCTCCCCCTCCTGAAGTTGTACCACCGTGCAGCGAAGGATACAAGATACATGGGGCCATGAAGAATGCGAGAAGTATATCTTTAGTTGGAGAGTGGTTGGCTGAGGAGGTGGGGTGGTACTTGCTTCTGATTCCTGCTTTCAGGGCTATCTTTGGCTTTTGTCTAGTTATTGTCTAATATTAAATACATAGGACAGTCAGGGGAGCAGGGACTAGGAACTCAGGAATAAGGAATTTCCTGGATTGAATCACAACCTCACTTATTCTTACGCCACCTGACCCAAATACAGCAAAATATTACATCTAGGAATGCAAATTTGAAAAATACCAATACTATGGGCTTAAAATATTTTCTAAAAAATGACAGTTCTGGTGTTTATATTGATTTTTATGTGATTCAAAGTATTCTTGTTTAGCTGTTATGGAAGGCAGTATGTAACGAACATTAAACTTTTGGCATAGAGTGGAGAAGTTGACTCGTTCTTTTCACTTTCCCTCCATTTTTTCCCCAGCTGTGGGTCATGTCCATAATTGAAGGAAGCATTAGGTGGGCAGCTTCCCTTATTAAGTTGTGAAGCTGGCTAGCTGTAGTATTCCAGAAAAGTACTAGTGGCTTTTAGCAGATGAATCAAAAGTAATATTTGTTGCAAAAAAAATAAAATAAAGTGCCATACTAGGATGTTTTTAAGTGTTGCATGCAAGTCAGGAAATAATTTTTCACTCTGGTTAGGACTGGTGGGGCCTTGTTTGCACGATGGGATCCAGTTTGGGCACCAGACTTTAGGAATGTTATTATCAATTGGAAAGAATCCAAAGGTTTACATTACAAGTATCATTGTAGAATAGGTTGGCAACCCCCAGGATGCAGGCCGAGCATGGCACGCGAGGTCATTTTGCTCAGCACGTCACGGCCAGCCCTGGCTCTGGGTAGCTGCTGCCAGTGACGGAGCCCGGGCTGCTCCCAGCAGGGCTTGCAGTGTCCCAGCTGCCTGCTGGGAGCAGCCAGGGTTCCCAGCTGGCAGCCGGGAGGCTGCAAACAGCTGTGCTGGGCTCTGGAGCCCAGGCATCAGCTCTGTACCGGCATGTGTACGTGTGCCTCGGAGCGGGCAGTGGGGGAGGCCCCTGAGGCAGCGCAACCCTGGTCTCTGCCCCGCTCCTGGCATGGAGCTGGTGACTGGGCTCCGGAGACCGGCACAGCTGTTTGTAGCCAGCCTGGGCTCTGGGCAGTGGCAGCACAGCTCTGGTATCGGCTCCATGCACACACGCACTTGCCGCCATTCACCAGCTCTGTGCCCACTGTCCACTCCGAGGCATGCCTACACGCACTGGTATGGAGCTGATGCCTGGGTTCTGGTGCCTGGCACAGCTGTTTGCAGCCTCCCGGCTCTGGGTAGCCACTGCCAGCAAGCAGCTGGGATGCTGCAAGCCGTGCTGGGAGCAGCCCGGGCTCCAGCAGCTACCCAGAGCCGGGGGAGCTGCCGAGGGCCACAGGGCCTTGGGTGGGGGGCAAGGGGCACAAGCAGAGCATCCTGCCATGTACCCTCTGCCCTCATTTTATTTTCCTGGCATGCCAGCGCTCCAGCACCTTCCAAGGTAGGCATTGTGTTTTTCGGCACTCCGGCCAAAAAACGTTGCCTACCCCTGTTGTAGAAGACAATGTATGAGGAAAGGTTGGAAGAGTAGGAGGATTTGGTAAGTCCACATTCAAAAAAGAGTGGTTGATGAGGGCTGTCTTTCAATTTTTAGGAGCCCACAGACAGCAGGACAAAAAGCGAGGGTTTTAAAAAAACAGATTGGGAAGAGAATGGTTAAGCTTTGGAGCAAATTACCTAGAGAAACTATGGAATGAATCTCCACCATAGGATATTCTTAAGTTCAGGGTGGACAAACATTTGTCTGGGAATGGATTAAACAAATATGATCTTGCACTGGCAGGGCATTGGATTAGATAACCCCTTGAGAACTGTAGTCCTGAAAAATGCAATTATCATTGTAGATAGGCAGTTAACAGGGAGTTCTCATGTACTTCTGCCTGTGAAATGGCTGAGATCTTTATAAACTGGGAAATATCCAGTAAGAATAGGGATAATGTTATCTACTGTGTCTGGCAGTTCAGTTAGTGCTATGTCCAGTTCTAGCGCCTGCTTTGAAGGAAATAGAAAATACGCAGTGGCTTAAAAAAGAGGTACACCCATGATCTGTGAAGTCCTGGGTGTAAAGGGAAGGAGGTGAAGAGGGCTCATAGTTATCAAAGGATCTCAATCAATTTCTATTTCTTCAAGGAAAAGGCTAAGGTGACTAAAATTTAAGTCTGTAGTTAGTCACATGTGGAAAAGAATAGATTGTAAAGGTTTTATTAAATAGACCAGATCTAATGGCTAGAAGCTTGAACATAGGAATTTTCAAAAAGGAAGTAAACTTGTTCAGACTAATTTATCCATTTCCAAGGGAAGTGGCTGATTCATCACTTGAAACTTTTGAACTGAATTTGACAACTTTCTCAAATATATGTTCTAGTTAAGTCACAAAATATTGGAGTAGATGGTGTTCATTTATTTAAGATGCAATATTATTTCCCCTCCAAGAATTACTGGGTGAAATGCTACAGTCCATGTTATGCATGAGATCAGGCTTTATAATCACAGACATCTGAACTTAATATCTTTGATTTTTTTAAAATTATTATTTGTATAATTGAAATGAACCTTTGCAGGACATGGATTTGATTTTGTATAGGTCGTCAGAGAAATGGGTGTTCCCTGCCATTCTTTCCCATCTAATATATTTTGCCAGGTGCTAAAGATGGTTGCTTTCAAAATAACGGTGCTTCATCCTTTATTGTAATTCTTCCTGTATTACAAATCTTATAATTTTTACGTGAGGTGCTCTCAGTGTGGTTAATCTTGGCAGAGATGTCCTTTTCTTGCTATCTCTACAGTTAAAGCAGGAGTAGTTTGCAGTGATGATATATGGGCAAATGCACTTCAGTTTAAATGCTTTAGATCTGTGATGTTCAACCTTTTGGGCCCCATGAACTGGGATCTCCCCTCTGCACATCAGTCCTATGCACCCAATCTAGCATGTAGGTGCATACTATTTGGCTCATGGAGCATTTCTCCGCCTGCCCTTCCCCTGGCATCCTGAAATTTGGCAGCGAGGGAGCAACAATTAGTTGCCACCATTCCCCCACCACCAAGTTCTTGGACCCATAGGGAGCCCCACAGGCTGGATGACATGGCTCCACCGGCCAGATGTGGCCTGCAGACCAGGGGCTGAGCCACCCCTGTTTTAGACCTGTGGTTCTCTACATGCTAAGACTCCATGCATCCTTCTGTAAGTTTTGTGATTTGAGCAGCACCCCATTTCAAAAGATAATTATTCCTTCCTTGTGCATGGAGCCAGTTGGGGAAGAAGCAGTCTGGCAGGGATTGTGTGTGCGCTTTACTCCTTGCAACAGGGCTGAATCATTGGTGACTAAGGGAGGAAGAGCAGCTTGTGTTTACTTCCTCAGGGCTAGGGCATGGACAGACACATGCTAACCTTGCTCCCTGCAGCACCTCAGCTGAGAATAGACTAATACTGGTAGAGAAAGCTTACCAACCCAAGTAAGGCCAGGTGTAAACAAGATACACTGATGCTCTATCCTTGGGTAGATATAGTGAAAAGGTAGGCAAGAGTGCCATAGGAAAGATCCCTTAAATCCCCTAATAAAATGATAGAACTTAAAACTGTCTTCCAGAACTTTGTTGCATTAGGTCCAGAGGTGGCCATGAGAGCCCAGAAAGTGCTTTGCTGTTGGGAAAAACTTGTGATGCACAAATCTAGTCCCTCTACCACAGATTTGTTCCATGTAGATCGGCCTTCCTGCCCTCTTTACTGAGTAGGTGTTCCATTCAACTAGGACAGTGGTTGAGGCACCCTTCAAAAAATGCCAGTTCTTAGCTTTCACTTGTTTTTCTGTAGCCAAAAAATAAATAAATAAACCAGAGCAAATCTGTTACAAAGAACTCAAAAGCCATGAGTCAAAATGTTTTTGACACTATGGATTACTATTAGAAGTCTCTGGTTGTGTCCACACATGCAGGCACAAGTGCTCACAAAAGCTCAAATAGCAGTGGTACAAATTTGTCCCAAAGATTTGTGCCTCAGCACATGTGCCTGACCATGCCCTTTGGTGTGGGGCACATTGTGCCACTTGAGGCAAACTGACCCTGGCCAGCTC